GGGGGGGGGGGGGGGGGGGGGGGGGGGGGGGGGGGGCGAGTTGTCATTTGCATACTTCCCTTGAGCTGTGTTTTTTTTTGGGAAGGGTACGTTGTTTTGCTGGATGGCACGCATTAGTAACTGGTGCTCCGCGGGGTAAACCCAGCCAGCAACGCACCGGGCTTACCGACTCTACCGTCTGTATTCACAGTTTAGGGATGAAACACAGACAGGACAGCAGGTAATGCACATACAGGCTCGCTTATCTGGGTATCTGAATTAGCACTGCTTTCCCACAACTGACAATATTCGACTGTGTCCCTTTCATCGGCTGGCCTGCAGTGCCAAACAAACTTTCGTAGTTTACATTTTTCAAAAAATTTCCAAAACACTTCCCATTGGGAACATGCATTTTTGCGCTAAACTTGAAGCAGTCAGATCGTTTATAGTATGAATGGTTGCTGCTTTACACTTTAACAGAGGAGGTCTCATGTTGGCTGTGTTTTGGCCTCTTGTTGCATACAGGGGTAAGAAGATTTCGGGCTGGGACGGTAGTGTTGCATCACGGGGCTGCATGAAATCTCAACCTCCAGCGCGTATGATCACCGTGGGTTTTTCACGGTGATTGGTTGTTCACTGAAAATGCAAATTGGACAATGAACAGGAAGTCAAGAAAAAAGGATGACGAAATCCAAGCAAAATGCACCCGCTTTTGAAGTTGAGGTAGAAGAAGTATTTATCCATGCCCTTACGCAAGAAATTGGGCCTCCAAACTGTATTTAGACCAAATGTGAGTGTAGAATGTCCCTGCATAATTTCAGCCTTCCAGTTTTCTCTGTCACTAAGTTGAAAGTGGATGACAAAGTTCACTTGTCCCACACACACACACACACACACACACACGCACACACACGCACATACACACACAAACACACACACGCACACACACACACACACACACATGCACATACATACATACGAAATCCTTTTGACAATATGCATTTTTGCATTGCATGGCTCCGTAATTCGGGTGCATCCCCAGTATAAATAGCCTGGGCAGTAATTTTTATCAGTAATTTATTTGTAGATCCAAATGATCAGACACTTGCGCTGGATTATTTACGGCGAGCATGTGAAAGTAATTTTGTAAGTTTTTTGTCGTTTTTTCGTTTTTTGGAGTTTTTTAACATTATGAATCTGTACAGTAGTCTAGTTATATCGTAAATTGGTGTGAAAACCCATACCGGAAGTTTGTATAATATGCCATTTTTAAGCGCACTTTATGTGTGGTACCATTGTCAGTATAAATTATCGTAAATTATTGTATTGGTAGTATAACGTTAGCTATTTGGATTCTCTCTGTTATAAATAAGCGCTGCGGTTTATCATGAAATAATAGAATAGAAGGATTGGACTTAAGTGTCATGTGTAAGAAGACATTTTACGATGCAGTCTTTCTGTGTGTTTCATCTCTCAGTTGTAAACACACTGGCCAAACTATGCATGCGAGTAGGAGCGGGAATCATCAGTACAGCCTCCTAACTGCCATCTACTGAACAGTCGTGTAACTAATATGCAAGACGAATATGCAAAAAAAAGAGAAATCAAAGAGAGAGAGAGGGAGAAAGAGCAGACAGAGTGAGAGAGAGGAGAGAAAGAAGAGGAAGTTAACCGATGATACGGACAATCATTATGTGCCAGTTATGAGGAAACACTTTTTATGAGAATAGCTTGATGATTAGGCGTTTAATTCCTGAATCATCAGGGAAGATGAATTTGCTCAGTACTGGTATAGTAGGGCACATAAGAGCGAGCATATTGGGCTGTTTTAGTGTAAATTAGCGCAAGTTTGATGGCAGCTCATATTGTAAATTTATGGGATAAATTACATTTGGTTTATAAAAAAAGAAATGAAGTGTCTAAGAAGAGGAAAATTCGGCTGAACCCTTTTTTTGAGGGCTTTGAGCCACATACCATCAGCTTGTGCGGTAAATTAGACCGACGAATCTAGTCATACCATTACCGATTGGTTTTTACAATAATCCACCAGGAATTAAAAATGATTAAACAAAGGAAATATAAGTGATATAATTTTGCTTTTTCATCCTTGAAATGCCCTGGAATGCCCTGGTTTTTCCCCTATTTTTTATTTGCGAAATTTCTCTTTTCAGCTGGAATTTATCAAGCAACTATCGACCGTACTTTCAACACCATCATACGCCAGTTTTGTACGTCAAGCAGCTGGTTTACAGCTCAAAAATGTCTTAGTTGCGAAAGAAGAGGCTACGAAAACTCAATATCTCAAAAGGTTTGAAATTTACCGCCTTCTTTATTTATAAGCATTGAGGAATTGAAAACTGAAGCGCCAGGCATGCTTGGGAGCATCCTAGTAAC